CTCACAAATGTGCACTCACGCTTGCAGCTTAACACGGGTAAAACTTCAGCTTAAGTACTAAGAATACGACGAGTATACGATTGCGGTCCAGGAACTATGCGTACGCGTTTTCCTTGGTACTAGGGGCGTTAGTCAGTGTTCCCATCCAATACGCTACAGTCGTGAGGTAAGAAACAATCCTAACGTTGAAAACGTGAACTATAAGCCTCACATCTGTGACATTGATGAAAACTTATTTAAATCAGGTACTGACGGCACCAAAAAGTGAATTTTCTTTCCTCAGTTATCTGAAATGAAAAGATACACGTGACGCTAGGGCCTTATTTTGCAATTCCCGACATTACCATAGGTACCAAACAAGGAACTTATTGATTTTTTAAACCTCATTTAAGCAGGGTCTGCATCTACGCCTTGGAATAAAATCGCGAGCAAAACATGCCTAACTACTAAATGGAATAATTAGATAAAACAGTGTAGCAAAACTAATTAAGTTTTAACTAACAGGCCGTCAAAGTTGTCTAGATGTGCGTTAGTTTATGAGGAAGTGCTTGGCGTATGCACGGAAGGCGCATTACCGAGGAAAGAAAGGCAATCCTTTAAGTTCATTTTGACGAAAAATAAATTTTTTAATAGTAAACTTTTTAATGCTTTTTGTCAAACGGTGTATGGCAGCTCTAAATGTGGGCAAAAATGGTTGATAAAATAATTATAAAAATTGGGAAGTTTCTTTTGTGTATTGTGCTGCAACTGTGGAACCTAATCTACTCTGTTAACGTTCCTTTGTTCTATTTTTGTTTTTACTTGACAATCCTCATGTTCCACGATTGTAAACGAGCAAATGGTGGATAAACTGCAATTTACTTTTGGAAAGGGCAATCCGTTATCGGAACAATATCAACTTCCGCTCATACTTTTCACAGAAGAGAAGCAATGCATTGTACAACTTGGATGTGTCATCCCAACCAACGTCGTGGTTGCTGACACCTTGAGTTCATGTGACCTTTTACTTGAATTCAGATTGCGTTAGTTGATGGTAGAGAGCAGAAGGGAGACCCCGTGCCAACTTTTCACTTCCGCCCTTTTTAGTATTACAAACGTAGTAGCTGTGGCATAACGCAAGAGGTAATATCAGTCATGCAGGATACTAGCGTACTCAGTAGGAAGGTATCTAGCAAAAGTTTGAAGCTTGTTTTTGCCTGCGCTCTGACGATCGGGTCAGGCAGTCGGTTCCAGTCATTACTCACTCGAGTAGAATGAGCAACAACTGCGTGGACTTTGAACCTTCTCAATTTAACCAGATTCCAGTGTGACCTCGAGTTGAACTGTGAAGTCAGCTGGAACAAATGCATCAACTCGTTTCTCTGTTCTTCCCGTAAAATACGCCTAGTATGGATGAGGTCTCCGTGACGTGGGCGATATGCTAAGCATAAACATTATCCTTTGTAGTTGGGTGGGATAGAAGAGTTCGGTTAGCCCAAGGACAAATTTCGAGGCCCGCCCCTAACCTTTTCTACTTTGTCGCTTTGATGCTTTGATAGAGAGGCTACGGCCGGAAGTCCGAATCCAAGGATTGGACGGATGTTTGGGGTGAAGAAGTCTAATATCTGCGACGTCGTTTTAGAGAATAATCTCCTTATGAAGCCTCACATCACGTTCGTCGTAGCAGCCTTCTTTATTGTGTCACGGGTAACCTTGAGAGCATAGGATACTATTGTCCCCAGGTCCTTTTCCTGTGTGGCAACCTGGAATAGGTGTCCGCCGATGTGATAAATGCCCGGTGGTTCAACAACACCCATGGAAAGGACAGAGCCCTTAGGTTTGTTGACCGGCAAGCTTCACTTGATAGACCAAGCGTGTGGTAGATCAAACCTTTCCTGGAATCGGTCTGCGTCTTCCAGGCTAGACACTTCCGACCATAGTTTGAGGTCACCTGCATAGACCAAAAAGTCCGTTTGTAGCATATTTGGTAGGCCGTAGATATATATCTTGAACAATTCCGGTCCGAGAATGAAACCTTGTGGTACGTCACTGGAAATAGGCAG